GTGCTCGGGGTCCGAGGCGGCTTACAGGTGACTCGCATACCACAGACAACCCTCTTGACTTCAAGAGTCTGTCACGCGTCATCCTAGTCTTCTGCTTCTCCGAAGGATCAACAAAACATCATACAGAGCAGGTAAACAAAATCTTGATTCGAGCTACCAGAACATTTAAAGACTATCTAGACTCCATAACGCTGCGCCTTAGCACCCGAGACGGAACCCCTTAGACCCTGAAGCCCAAATCTGACCTAGGTGCCTTAAGCCACTAAAGCCCCTGACTCTAAGCCCTAAACCTCTGCTCTACCCTCCTGCCTCCACTGTTCCATTCCTGACCAGCAGCCAATGGGTTCATCACAAAAAGAAGGACAGGTCAAAAGTAGAAGATACCATTACCTCAGACCTAGCTTGTGTAGGTAACGTATGTGACAGCCATTGTGCTGACTTCGAATTGAGATTGCTTTAGATCACAGGGCTATGGGAGCGCCTCAATACGCGTTCCACCACGGTCCAGCTCTCAGGGCTCCCTAGAGTGCTCGCCATTGCTCCCAAGAACTTCTCTTGACATAGCAGGTTTCATACAAATGCTCAGGACTCAAGGCTTAAGGGATGGATGTCCGAGCTGCAAGAAGCGCTGGTGTCCAACACAACGCCACATTCGTCCACCAAAATAGCTATATATCCCGAGCTACAACACACACACACCTGGCGGACGAGGCAAGGATACACACTCTACGACGCTCCCAATGTTCTCTGACTGTTGAGTTGCCTCGCTCGATGAGTTGCTGCCAGAGCTGGCCCCCCCCTGGGCACGTGTGAAAGCAGCTCTCGAGGTTGACAACGTCTGCAACGATCCCTCGCTTCTACATTAGGTATTGCTTGGGGAGACCTAGTTTGAGGCGAACCTTGGGGCTTTGTGGTTATCTTGCGCGTTAAAGAGGCGCACAGGTTTCCACACGCAACTTGTGTCAGCAGCTCATGAAAATGTATAAAGCTACATGGCATGCATGCAGCGGCAATGACTCGCCATTAAAATCTGATAGAAAGGAAACACTCAAAACACGAGCCATCTCTTGCAAGTGCCTTCAGATGCTTTATGTCCGGCCGGGGCCAATTTGAGAAACCCCAGCGTTCCCTCGCAGACTTCGCTGAGTGGGCTGCGGCAACCAAAGCATACAATTGCAACGAAATCCCGTGCGCCAGAACGGTCCCTAAACTGTGTGTTGAACGCTGCAGGCGGTGAACAGGTTCTTGGGCTCAGACCAGAACGTGTTCCGCAGGAGTATCCTCGGCGTGCACTTTCGGGGCGGGGTTCAGATTAAGTGTTTAAGGATAGGCTTACAGCTCAGGCCGCTGTGACTTCCCCCAGAAGTAGGGGTCCCCCTATATAGTTAGACGCCAAAACACTGCAAGAGTGGCTCAGCATCTTGAGTCCAGCCATATGAACCGTAAGGCCCAGCTATAAGAGGCCCTTCAGTCAATGCCCCTGAGGCGTCCTTTTTGGATAACTTCTTAATCCCAATCAGCGACCCAAGAAAGTCTGCATGTCAAATCTTGCAGGAGTTTGGCGGACTGATGCTCCAGGACCCCGACAGTGTCCAAAACTTCATCTTCATCATCCTTCATGCGAAGGGCCAAGCTCGAATGCCAAAGGCGCAGAAGACAACGCGCACCTCTGAGCTCACATGTGGAACAGGCTGTGGCTGTTGCAGACGCATCAATGCATTTGCGCTCCCAGACTCTAAGGTCATTCCGCCCAACTGAACAAACTTTATGCTGCAAAACCCTGCTAAAACCGGCAAGTGAACCTGAAAACTCTCCGTCAAAGCCGAATCTGGACGAAGAGAGCTTTGGTGCAGCCTAACAAAAAGAAAAAAAATGTCTTGTTTGAGCCGAGAAGAGGCTGCGTGGCTCATTCATATCCTGCTTTGGCTGTTGCTGGGGTCAGGTAGGATTCTGTCAAGAGGCTGGAAGATAGCACGAGCTAGTCCAAGTGAGAATCGCATCCGCCTCAAATGCATCCACAGGGTTATCTTCCGATTCATACCTCTGAATTCGTACAACAACTTTCCTGATAAGAATGGAGGCCTCACTGGTCAAACGTTGAGGGCATCATCATCATGATTGCGGCGTGTTTGTGTGTAAAAGGCCCGCGCATTCCCATGCTAAATTGCAGTCAAGTGAGTAACCAAGAAGAAAAGAATCCTACGCAGTATATTGTGGGGAATCCATGTGTTCAATCCCGAGCGGATTCACAGCGGTGCTGGGGAATGACATGAAATTCGGAGGAAATTTGCTGGCATCACCAGCAGCCCCAAGTACATCAAGTCACGGCCCATGGAGCTTTCAAAGCCTTCCAACATGGAAAGTGCGACAACATGATGCTGCTGGGAAGTTCTCAGCCGTGGAAGGCAGAGACTGAGCCAGCAGTTACAGGCTGAGGCGCTCAGCAACAGCTTTCGAATGAAATGCAAGTGCAAGCCCGGCTTAAGGGCCTGAGGGGGGAGGGGGTGCCATGGGAAGAGAGGACAGACCTTAATTGGTGGGGAGAGGGGGGTGGGGGCTGGCTATTGATTGAATCAATGTTGAAGGGTGGAGTCTCCCCCCACAGACCTCAACAATTAATTACACGCCTTAAAAAGTGACCCGGAGACAGACCCACAGCGAATCTATAAACGAGAACTATCGATAGATCCAAGAGAGCTAGCTTGCGTGAAGTTTAAAGCATTGGGATTTCTTGACAAGCTCCATGAAGGGAGGGGAAGGGAGAGTGATTGAAGATTAGTGGAACAAGGGAGGGAAAAAGGGGAGTGCAAAGGGGGACTGTAAACTGGTCCAAATCTGACAAACTCCTCTCAAGCACCTGTATGCGACTGCTATGGGACGCTGCCCAAGTTCTAGCGCTCTGACAGCTGCTGACTTCCCGGGTGCTTACGTGATTGATGACTGCTATTCCATGTCTTCTTGCGCGCTTCAAATCTTTCTTTTCAACATGATTGGGCGGCATCTGCTGCACCATCTCTTTGATTAGGAGGACCCCGCCGGACATGTAGTAGATTAATTACTCCCAGCATTCATCTTCTGTGTAGGCCGCAGGCATGATGGGCCAGCAAATGCTCCCCTGCATGTCCAACAGCTGATCCACGGGCTACTTACGTACTCTCGTGCACGGTGCCCCTCACACTACCTTACAAGTGCAAAACTAACATGCAAGAACTAAGATGCCTTAAGATTGAGCAACAACCTTGGTTGCTTGTCGTCTAACCAGCTCGAAAGCAGCTGGTCCGAACAGATCCTCATTGCCTGACCTTGGCTCAGACAGGTTGAGTTACTTGGCAGACTCCCATTGCTAATAAGAATACGACGCAGATCCGGGATGTAATCGGCAGCCTCTTGCTGGACAAACTAATGGTTCTTGCGGAACCCGGAAAGTGTTGGCCACTTGATCAGGGCTAGCTGGTCAGGTACTAATAGCAGTCTTCAGCACCCAGATTGCATGGTGACCCATGCTTTGTTGCGAATGCTGCTGTGCCGTGCTCGTTCACCGAGAATTTAAATTCTTCTGGACATCTATGCTGAGCTTCACGCGGACCCTTCGAGGTAGGCACGCTTGCCGCGCATTGTCGTCTCAACGGCCCGCGTTCTGCCTGAATGTGGCATGCAAAGTCTAACCGGTCCTGTGGATGATCTTCAGCAGAAGTGTACCCATTCCTGGACTGCAAGAGTGTGGAGGAATTATCCAAAACTTCTGGAGAAAGACCTATTTGAAACCTGCGTGGGCGTGCCGGGGTTCTAGTGAATCTACTGCAGATTTCGATTTCCATTCCATGTGCAGAATATGGGCACGCATCTACAAAGATCAAAAGATGGCTCGCACGACCCGGCAGCGTGCTTGGCACTGGGCACTGCCTACATGTCACTTGACTAGGCCCGCGTCCGAAGAGGCTCGAAGACCAGCTCCCTGTCGCACCCCTGTCAGGAATAATCAAGAATAAAGCCGCACACTTTGGGCTTCAAGGCAAGGGTAAAGCTACTTGACACTACAGCTCTATCATTCCGGCTACCATATTGAATTGACTTGTTGGGGAAGAAAATGCGCCGTGAATATATCGAGAACTCATCCTTCAGAGCGCGTGAGATTGAAGCTGAGAACCAAAGGTGCCTCTGATGCATGCTTGACTCGATGCTTCAAACGTCTACGTAATTTGTCATATCTTCTTCATGCTTCCAATGGCTCAGAATCAAGAATGCTGAACACTGAGTTTAGACTATCGCTCATATAATCCCTAAACCCTTAACCCTATGGAGCTCAGCCATACACGAGGGCAATTTCGTTCTCGCGGGAGAGCTTCTTCATTGGAGGAAGGGAGCTAAGCCTAAACGCAGCTGAGCGTTTCCATAGGGATATACGGGGGCTTTATAGGGAAATGTAAGGATGAAACAAGGATTTTGTGGGGGCATTCGGGCTTATATAAGGGATACATAGGGGTCATGCTGGAATTTATGGTTTTGACTGGCGGATTAACACGGGGCCACCGGCTGTCTCGAGCTGCTGATGTTAACTTCCTTAGCTCTCCCTAGCATGCAGCTCACGTCCCACCTTAGTTCAGGGTGTAACATGGTTTAGCTAAATCAGCTAAACCCTGAAGAAAATAGATTTAAACCCTAACCGCACATGGGATTGAAAAATCATAGGCCATGCAGGTCTGAGTTGGCGTTTTGTGGCCAGCCAAGACGGTGCCTGTCACTGGGTGTGACGAAAGGGGCAACGCCCTTCCACCACCAGTGCGCATGTCCCTGGCGGACCTGGTTGCCCCTGATAGCCTTGTGCAACAGCTGGGCTTGAAATGTACACGGTGCTAGCCCAAAGGCAGCAGGGGTCAACAAGAGACTAATGGGGACCAGCTCAAACCACATGGATGGAAAAGTGGTCTGAATCTGGCTTCTGTGCGGCACGGCGCCCGAGAACAGGAGCCATGTCAGTGAAACCGCAAGCTCAGCTTGCATCATGAATGCACCTGGGCGGTTCCCAAAAGTTGGGAAGCACATGAAGTACAGATGCAGTGTTGCAGGGTTCACCAGAAAACGACCCTGAACTCCAAAAGTCCGGCTCTCTCTCACGAAAAAAACGAGGGCGGATTTGTTTTTTGCGACTTTTTTTGTAACTTTTTTGAAAGGGGGGGAGAGCTGGGGGCCCTGGAATCGGAGTACATCTCACACGAGAATGCGAACTGAGGCAAAAGCTGTGAGGACTGATGAAAAGTCATGAAAATCATGAAAAAACATTAAAAACATAAAAAATCATGAAAAAACATGGAAAATCATGAAAAATCATGAAAAATTACCAAAAATGAAATGATGAAAACGGTATACAAATGATAGAAAATGATATAAAATGATGAAAATGATATAAAATGATGAAACTGATGTAACTGATGTAAATGGTAGACAAATGATGAAAAAATGCGAAAATCATGAAAATGATAGAACATGATGACTTTGACTTTGAGTACGCAGCATCTCTAAGACGCCCAGCACTTTGTAGGCAAGCCTAGGCTCGGCAGCTCTTGGCCGCTGTACTTTGCACACCTGATGGCTGCATCCCGTGACGCGTCACAAAGCAAATGCAGCGGGTTCATAATCCAACAGAGAACCAACAAAACGCCAACAAACGAGCAAACAAGGAGGATCAAGGTGAGACACCATGAACCCTTCTCACAAGAAAAAGCTGGCCACTCCAGCATTAATTCCATGAAAAAGCCACTCCAGTCACTTTCTTGAAAGATCACCCCATTGTGAACGTGGGATTCCAGCTGAGCCAAGTGGGTAGCATCCAGAGAGCGCAACAGCTTGACCGATACGTAATCATTGCCATGTCTCAAGGCAGCTCAGGAGGAAAACCCAATCTGGAACGGATGATGAGCGTGCAGATTTATCTCAAGCTGAGAAGCCAGTGTTCTAAAAAGCCAGCGCCTTGAAGGAAAATCCAGATGACCAGCAAATACAGAAACTGTAAGTCGCATCTGCTCAGATACAGTGGGGACCTGCAAAGTTGGTTCCAGCATCCAAGGACCAACCGAAAAAGGTCAAGTGGCCTGCACCCATCATGAGTATCCCGACCCACCAAAACAGAGCGACGCTGATCCAGGCAGATTGTGATGGCACGATTGGTCATTTGGTCATCTGCCAGGAGCTTCTCTCTGTAAACACTCAAGGCAAGCGAAACTTCACTGCGACCAGCAAAATGTTCCCATACCTGATTGTCAAAGGAACACATGCTTTCAGCTGAATAGCTGGACTCATCTGAAGAAGCACCCATAACCTATGCAGAGAGGCCCAATGAACAAAGAAATAAAAGGCTGAACGTTTGCTCGAGCATCAAAGCAGATCCACATCTTGTGTACTATACCATGATCATCAAGCAAGAAATTAAAAAGCAGGAGAAGAACCCGTGAAAGAAAAGGCGGAACTGTTTCAACACTGGCTCTGATCAACGGGTCGCTGGTCCCTTTGGGCAGCGAAACATGCTGTTGGCACTCCCTGCAGCACACTGCAACGCTGGAGTGCAAGCAAATTACTCATGAGACCTGACAGCACCAACCAGATAACCATTTTCAGCCATGAGTTGCATGTCTCTGGCACTAGCCCTTGTTGGTGGATTGTTGTCATCACATATCGGGAACTTCCATTGCCGCACTGTCAGTCCAAAGAGATGAGAAGGCGTGCTGAGCCCAATCATGTAATGTCCTGAGAGCACACTGTTACCGCAACGATAAATGACAAAGACGACCCGGCATGAGCGCATAATCCTCTCCAAGCTGTCGTGGCGGAGGAAAACTGGCACACCAAAAATTTGACCTGGCAAAACGCTGATACCACGTTGGTTCTTGCACACACTGCCATCCTCAACGCTGTAACGCCTGAGCTGTAGAAGCAAGAAGCCATGGCCTGACCCTAGTGCGTGAGGAGTCAGGAGTGGCCTGATTTTCCGATTCATCAATGCAAGGTTGTAATGAGAAACCAGCCAACGGCAAAGGTATGGGAAGAGATAGCTGACCTGCATCAACAATGTGAATGAGACCATCTATATCGGTCTTGGATTCCCTTCCACCATGGACAGCAATAGGACTGGCCTGCTCAAGGAGGTATTTGAAGAACTCCGCAGCATCATGCTGAATGTCGATATCCTGCCATTGCTGTAGGATGGGTCACCAAGATAGGCACGCGCTAACGACATTGCACCACCTCTCCTCAATAGCATAAGTCCAGGCTTCGCTGAACCATAGGCCGCATCTGTAACACCTGCACATCCCCCAAACCAACGCCAGCCAATTGCACATGTGTTCAGGCAGCAGTGATTGCCAGGACTGAGCAAAGTAGTCATCAACAAACGTTGCGGGCCTCTGCACATCACTTGCCCTCCTTCGTCTGGTTCTGGCCCATCTCTGTCTCGGCCTTCTCAGTTGGCCGAGTTTTGCGAAAATCCTTCCTCGGCTCCCAGTCGCAGAGCTGGGTCTCCAGGAAGGTCTCCTCCAGCAGCTTGGCCATGGGCTGCCGCGTGGCGCGCTCTGGCCGCAATCTCACGAAGATCACAGCTCTTTTAGAATCGCCAGTCCTTGCTGTGGCCCCCACCCCTCCCTTTCCCTGAAAGCTCTGTTGCCCCTTGGTGAACCCCCTATGAAACTTCTGTTGAGGCGCATGGCTGCTCTCCTCTGCTGCAGCTTGCCTCCGCTTGTCCTTCTTGGATTGCTCCAAGCCCACCAGAATGGAGTCCTTCTCCGAGTTTGCCGTGCATCCTTTTGTAATGCGTCTTGAGACCCAGGCCTTTTTCAGAGAACCACTGTCCACACAACGCACAAAAATTTGCAAAGTTGAGCAGAATTTGTTTCTGCTGTTTGTGGACTCTTTGCTTGATCCATCTCTTGGCTGACTGACCCTTGACACCAATTATGAGAACCGATTTGGTGGGATTGACCTTCATGCCCAGCTCCTGAAAGAGAGTATAAGGCTCCCTCACACTCTTCGCCATGTCATTCAAAGGGTCAACGTTGTCTATCAGCCAGGACGCACGCGTATCGTCAGCAAACATAGTGAAGAACTTCTCAACCCATACGGAACTGGTGCGCGCTGCAAGCAGATGTGATAAATAGACCCTGAGTGCCGCGAACAGTGTAGGTGCTAGAGTGCATCCTTGACGCACTCCGCGCCTCATCGAGAAAGTGAGCTCATGCCCTGAGTGCTCAACATGATACTGCGATGTTTCATGAAGAGGGGTGCAAAGGTCTTCCGAAACTCCAATGAAGCGAAGAGAATCAAACATACCAGAGCGAGGTAACAAATCAAATGCCTGGCTGAGGTCGATACTCAGTTGCGCGCCCCCATAACAGGAGGTAGGCCGTTTGCCCTGTCTTTTGGCAAGCTCCACAGTTGCCCATCTTGAGACGCTCCCTTACTTCCTTGCAGCGCGTGACGACTCTGGAAATAGCTTCATCCACTGCTTTGCCCGGACAGCCCCAACCGGGGAAATCCCATGAGAAAAGGACGCACATATGGCAAAATAAGAGCATTGAGGTGCCTTGCCAGAGCTTTACGCCCTGGATCCTGCAATCCAATGGGCCTGAGGTCCTTAAGCAATTTAATGGTTGAGCAGGATCAAGGAGCAATCCTGCCAACAGTGTGCAACCCATGGAACTCTGCATTCCCAAAACGCATTCAGTCTTGAAGCCATCCACTTTGATAGAACCTCCGCGCACGCACGCCAAACAATCGTGGGCAAACTAAGCTTGGGAATGCCCTTGCCTTTGCGCCGCAGTCCTCGGATGGAGTTCACTAGCCCATGATCCTCCAAGCTCATGTGATCCTGAAAAAGTCTGTCGCATGCATCTGGACCAGTGGAGAAAACCTCTGCAAAATATCCTCGAATGGCCTCCATTTACTGAGATGGATCCTGCAAAGCCCCCTCTGCAGAGCGAATCTGGACCTCGTCACGTTTATGGCGTGGAGCAAGCCTGCGGACGATTCTAAAGAGTTCAGCCCGGTTATGCCTCTCCGCTGCAGCCTGTGCTGCATCGAGCTGGTTCAGAATGAACTGCTTGCGCTATTGCTTACCGTTGGCCCGTACAGCTTTATGAGATCTCATGAATGCAGCGCAAGAAAGCCAAGCGCTAAAAACATGCGACATCAAGTTGCTGCCACGACTTCCAAAAAGCAAAGCTGAGCCATCCGCTGAGCTTCGAGCTGGAGAAAAAGCTCGCCGGCCCTGTGACTTCATCCGACGACACTTGATCTACATGTCCCTCAGACTTTGCTGAACCAAGGCCGTCTGCCAAGCCCTGTCATGTGGCGCCTGCTTTTGGCTTGGAAAGAATCTTACAAAGCTGCAGAACCTGTTGATTCAAATTTTCAGGCTCCACACCGGGATGAGTGGTCATCAGAAGTACTGCGCCCAGTGAGGATGAAGTCTATCTGCGTAGGCTGTTCCCCAAAAACACACATTGCAGAAACAGAGGGTCTACTTGACTGCCATGCGTTGAGGACGCAGAGTTCGTCGCCAACCACCATGTTCATGAATTCCATAACATCAGGTCGCGATTGAGCGGTCGTTTTGAGAACGCCCAGACCAACATATCAAGATTTCGACTCACATGGACAATTAAAATCACCACACACAAGTAGGAGGTTACGTTGAGGAAGACCTCCTATGTGTCTGCTGGCCGCAGTCCAAATCTGTTGATGCTGGATCACAACATTCCTGTCAACAGCCCCACTCCATGACCACTGATAAATGCACATCAAATCAGCATGATAATCCCCAAGAAAGCCCCGCACATAAAGGATGCGTCCAAGAAAAACAGCATGATATCTCAAGCTCTCTGATGAGAAAAAGCATGCTGACAAGAAAATAGCAACTCCAGCAAATCTGGTGGCATGATCCGCTGTGGCCACTACATGCCAGTTGGCTGCTGTCCAGCTTGATTCCTTGTCCTTCCCAAGACCCCAGTGGGTTTCCTGAACACAGACCACATCGTAGTCGCTTTACTGCGTGAGCCACTGCATGAAACAATCATAGGAATCGGTGGAAAAGCCACCAATATTGTAGGTGGCTGCACGGAATCTTCTATGTAGTTCCATCACACAGGTTTCCCCCACACTTCTGGGGGGACGCAATCTCGGTCTGTCAGGCTGACTGGGTCCTCCAAGCTGTTTGAAGTCATGCCATCTCCCTCGATACCATGTTCCACCTTGCGTGCTAGCCGCAGCTCTTCTTACAGCTCGTTTGCGCCCTCTTTTCGGTATGGGTGTACTTCGCCAAGGTCTGATGACCCGCCGAGCTTGCCTATGGAACGCAAGCTAACCACCCTCGGCTCTGCATGCAGAACTGGTTTGTAACCATCGCCGTACAAATCTGCACGACTTGGGATTTGGGACCCAGGTGACTCTGCTTTCACAGATGTCACTTTGTCACGGGGAATCATGTCTTCTTCAATGTTGCAGCAGTCAGGCAAAAATCGCAATCAATCCAGGTGTGAAATTTTGCCAGAGAAAGCATGAAACCATGACGAACGCTGTCCCCTTCCCCGCTGCATTTTGCCTGAACCAAGAGCCTTAATAGAAAATGATGAAAATGATGAACTTAATGAAGCATAATGAAACATGTTAGGACATGATAGAAAAACTATAGAAAATGATGAAAAATATGCAAAAAAAGGAAATGACGAAACATGATGAAAATCATGAAACATGATGGAAATGGTGAAACAGGATGGAAAATGGTGAAACATGATGAAAATGATAGAAAATTATGAAAATTATGAGCAATGATGAAAAATGAAGAAAGTGAAACATAATGAGAACTGCTGAACAATGACGACAAATGATGAAGCAAAATGAAAAATGAAAATGTTAGGAACTTGATGAAGAAAATCATGAAAACCATTAAAAATGAAACATTTGAAAATGAAAATGATGAAAAAGGATGAGGATGAAAATGATGGACAGTTGATGAAAACGATAAACAATATGATTTATAAAAACCATGAGAACACGAAGCATGGATGGCATTCAAGGCAGGGGGGTGAGAGGGGGGGGGTATGGCGCAGCCCCTTCAGCACAAAGAGGGGGGGAGGGCGGGATGATGACACTGGCAGGCATGGATGGCCAAAGGGGGGGGGGGTTCGCGGGGGCACAGCAACCCCAATTTGCAAACAAAATGTAACCCTCCCTTACTGATCATCAACTACTACTACTACTACTACTACGCCGACGACAACATCAGGAAAGTACAGAAAGCGAGAAACCATGGAGCCAGGAATCGAAGAAGCCACGTAGCCAAGAAGCCACAAATCCAAAAAGCAAAGCCAAGAAGCCAAAAAGCCAAAAACCAGGCAGCCAACAGAAAAAACGCAGAAGTCAAGTAAGTGATGAAAATGGTGGAACCAGATAGGAGCCACGAACCCGAATGCAGACACGTGACACGCACATGCAACGATAATGACACCCCACGGGCGAAACCACTTAGGAAACGTAGGTCCGGGATCATCCCTTTCTCCTCTTTCTCCTCCTCTCTCTTTTCTCCTTCTCTTCCTCTTCCTCTCTCTCTTTTCTCCTCTCTCTTCTCTCTCCTCTCCTCTCTTCCCCCATCTCTCCTCTCTTCTCTCCACTCCTCTATCTCCTAACCTCTCTATCCTCTCTCCTGTTTTCTCTCCTCTCTCCCCTCCTCGCGATTAGGACTCCCCCGATCCCTGTGATTGTTCACACTTTTGAGACGCGAAGACACAAGACGAGTCAGAAGTGGCGACAATTCTGCGATTATTCGCCACTGGGACCCCCCCGGTTCCTGACTGTTAACGCGATGCGTTTCGCGACTAAGACGCCCCGATCCCTGTGACTGTTGACACTTTTGAGATGCGAAGATGTCTCTTAAACCTCGGTGTTTTGTTCTGGTTATTTTGCTTCCGTGGTTGCTTGTGATGATTATGAAGCAACATGCGCAAGGTAGTCCACTCCCCACAAGTTCACTGGACCAAATCTGATGCGCTTGCGTGCTTTTCTGGAAAAGCGTGATCTGCGCCTGTCCTTCCTGAAACAGATCGAAGTCCCCAAATCTCCATCCTCTCACCCCCCTCCCAAATGTCTAGGCAGAGGGGGGATCCTGGTCGCGAAACGCAGAACTGTCGTCACCTTCTTGTTTTGAAGATGCACTGTTTTGTTGGCAGCATGATTTTTGCGACCGTCCAATCGATGCCCTTTTCGGCTTCTTCTGCACCATCCTGGCCAAGGGTAACACTTCCCCTTGTGGTGAGGGTGTGGGGGCTGCCAGGATATCCTGGAGTTTTTTGTGGTAAGCGCGTGGCTTTTCTTCGTTTATATTGTTATGGGTAGTGGTCTGCAACGGTCGGAATCTGGAGTCACAAGTCGCAAAAGATTGAGTTACGTTGCATTGCCACTCTTAAAAGATCTCGCCCCCCTTTTGTTTTTTGTAAATCGAAAAGAAGGGCTTGAGGTTTGAAGGATAGTTTTGAAGGGGGACTTCGAGGGCCTAAAGGGGGCTAAAATGAGGTTGGGATAAGTGCTTAACGCCAGGTTTTAGGGCCCCTTGTAACGGCCTTAAAACAGGTTGGGGGTCTTATTTATAAAGGCCTTAGACCAGGTTTAAAGGCCTTTTTAAGGGCCTTAAACCAGGTTGGCTTCCCAAACCAAGTTTAGGGGCCTAAAAACTGGAGCTTTTGGCATGTGTCCCCTATGCCTTCAGCCTCAGGCCTACAGGTCCTTGAATCCGCTGCGCAGAGGTGACCCTGGGGGTCCAGGACACCCCTCAAAACAGCAAAAACATGCAAAGGAAAATGTTCTACCTGTGTTTCCTCCGTCTTGAAGTTTTTGAGCCTCCAGCCTAGTCGCCAAGCTCAGAGCCCCCTGGAAGACCCCTGACACAGCCTAGGAAAGGAACAAGGACAAATCCATACCGCAAAAATGGTCCAACACCTCTTAGAAAGGAATTTGTTCTACTTATATGAAGGGCCCTGAGACCTCAAGAAACCCACTTAGAAAGGAATTTGCTCTGTTAACCCAATCGCCCAGGTGAAGCGGCGCAGACATTGATGCTCTGCTGCAAGGATCT